CGTCCGATGACGCACGTAAACTGCCGATCTACCGTTGAGTACGAAGTCTTACTTGTTGGGATTTCTCGCCATACTGTCGGGTGCCGGCGTCTACAGCTTTTTTTTTTGCGCCCGAAGCAATTAAAGGGCTACCCTATATGTAGGGAGGCGGAAAATGCGTTACGCATACCACGATAGCCGGTCTATCGTTGTTATGAGGGACTCACATCCTACCGGGGAACCTAAGTGATACCCTCTAAAAACCGCCTTTAGGTACTGGCAACTGGCTGATTAAGCTTTATTGTGCCGTATCGGGAGCGACCCTCTTTTGGGAAAAGAGGGCGCAGGCGGCTACGAGCCGCTGAGGGAGTGCCTACGAAGGCAAATTAATTATGAATGAATAATTTAATTTAATTAGAGTTGGCCTGAGCCGCTAGGAGGCAGTTCAGGTCGTTTGATAGTTTATTAGGCGGGTACGAGAGAGAGTTTCTCGGCCTGCGGGCTCGATAGCGAGAGGGGGGGTGGGGCTGCAGAAGTAGCTGCCTCACGAATAAAATAGTTGGAGTGCGACTCTGAGGCTTTGAAGAAGTTCTCAGAGAGTTTTTTGAGAAATTGTTGAATTGTAGGGAGCTCTAGGTCCCGATGTAGGTCGGCATTACGGACGTACCAAGGTGCGTTCGCAGCTCGACGACAGAAAAGGTTTTGAACTATTTGGAGTTCATTAATAATTTTAGGGTCGACGTGGGCAAAAATGGGCCCGCGTAGAACATGACTGGTCGTATACAGACCTTATAAAGGGTACGCTTGTTTCTGAGGGACATTTTACTGTGTCGGCCCAACATACTGTTGAGCCTACTCAGGTAAAAACGTGCGTGACGGGTTATTCTTTTGACGTGGGGCCTGAAGGTGAGCCTTGTGTCTAGAGTGACATCTAAATATTTGGCAGTCGTATGCCAGGGGACAGGGGTCCCTAGCATACTACGTACGTATACGTATACGTATTGGTGGAGTATTTTTGAGACGGCGTCGTTTGTAATCAAAGTGAACGGCGGAGCACTTCTCCGGGTTCACATCGATGCGCCATTTTTTGAACCAAGCTCCTAGGTCGTCAACTGACTTTTGAACCTTGTTCCGTATGAAAGGTAGCGAGATACCTTTGCAGTAGATAGCAGTGTCGTCTGCGAAGAGGGAGAGCTGAACACCTTTTGACGGGATGGAAATGTCGTTGGTGAACAGGATGTACAGCAGAGGAGCAAGTACTGAGCCCTGAGGGACACCAGCTTTGATAGGGCGCTGTGAAGATAGCGTGCCTTCGTGTCTAAAACGAAAGGTACGATGCTTTAAGTAAGAGGCCACGAGACGTACTAGACGGTCGGGGAGACCGTTGTACAGTTTGTAGATAAGGCCTGTATGCCAGACTCTATCAAAAGCTTTAGCTATGTCGAAGAAGACCGCGATTGTCTTATGACGACGAGGATAAAAACCGCTGAGGATATATTCCACAATACGGTGAACTTATTGGGGACATGAGTGTTGCGCTCGGAAACCGAATTGATGGGGAATGATAAGAGGGTCACTGTCTGTGGGAACCAGATAGCGTCTCATACGTGTTTGGATGACTCTTTCGAAGAGCTTGCCCATTGCCTTGAGGAGGCTAATGGGGCGATGACTGGAGGGGAGGTTGAGAGGCTTGCCTGGCTTGGGAATACCAATCACAGTTGCCTCTTTCCACGTAGTGGGAAAGTAACTAAGGTTAAAGCAGGCGTTGAAGATAATAGATAAAAAGGTTAACACCTGCTCAGGAAAGTGTTTTAGGGCTTGGTTGGAGATGCCATCCGCGCCCGGAGCCTTTTTGGGCTTAAGTCCTTTGATGAGGGATGAAATCTCATCATTGGACACAGAGATAGGTTCGGAGGCTGTAGGGGGTGAGTTCCGGCGGCGGACCTCATCCTCCACTGCCTGGACGTGTGAGGGGTCGACGGGTTGAAAGCTAGGAGAGCATTGTGCGGCAATGCTATCTGCAAAGCACTCAGCCTTTTCCTCGTCCTCGAAGGCAACCGTACCGTCGGGACGTGAGAGGAAACACTTGGCCTGCAGTACATATATATATATATATATATATATATATATATATATATATATATACAGAATGGGTCCCACATATATGCAATAAATGAAACCATATACTTGTTATACCCTTTGCTGACGATATACAAAAAATGAACGTAATCGGTCCAGTAATTAGGTCAAAAAGTAGAGTTTTAATTTTAAGCAAATTTGAACACTATAGAATTGGGTCACTAAGTCAATGATTCAATGAACTTGAATCCTTGAACATTAAAAAGCGACGTTGCCACGCAGTGCAAACTATTGGTATTGCGACATATCGACAGCGGTGTCTTTTGTCGGCGTGCCACCCGCGTGCAACGTTGTCACTCTTCCAAGATACGTTGTCTAAACAGAGTGTTCACTTTTACAGAATTTATTTTAATATTTATTTTGTTTGAAAATTTCACTTTTTTATTTTACGGGTTTTTATTTAATATTTAATTTTTCTACACTTCTACGGACTAGTATTACTTGTGGTTTCATTTATTTCATATATGTGGGACCCATTCATCTACTATTGTTAGCTTTCTAACAACGTTAATAATTTTTGGGTCGAAAAAAGAGGTAACCTTAAACACATGTTTCTAATGTTTATTGTTTAGTTTTTAGTTTAGCCGCCTGTGATCCTTTACAAAGGATAAATTCTCAGAAGTGTTATACTTTGAGTACAGCTAAAAAAATCCCGAACTTAATGAATGTTGGTCATAGGCCTAGGTGGCATCGCGTTTTCTGAGAATCGTATCTATACATTGAGGTATTACTACTATAGAGAAGACAACGCTTTGCATGATTTTACGCCTCGCTTTGTGGTACACTGTACCGCAACTGTTTAGTGAGTGTCCAACGCCCGCTCAGACGAGTCGTGTTCGCTTCGCATAAATAGCAACTTCAAAATGCCTGGTTGGGTTCTTAAATACTGCAGTAAACCCTCCAGAACATCAAAAAAAAGTGGTTGTTTAACATTTCATTGGTAAGTAGACATTAAAACGTTTAAAACTATTTGATTTAAAGTTTTTAGAGTTGTTACAATGCTCACGAGAATCGGGCTGTCAACCGCCGCCATTTTGCAGTTGTAAAATCTATCGTACATAAGCGCCATAAAATTACTGGCGGTTATAACGTTTTGGTCGCTAGAAAACTAACCCCTAATGCAAAACAGCGCTGCAGCGAACTTTAGTTCTAACTCTTACCAAAATGAAGCAAACTTTTGGTTCGGGTTGTCTGTTCTACATGTTAGTAATATAGTTCGATGTATCTATATCAGATTTCTAGTTTCAATATTTGATATCAAAACTATATTTCAATAACTGGGTATTCTGCGTAAGCGTTTATATTATTTTTTACATAGTCTTAGCTTTTGAAATCCGATTTTTTTTGCGCCCGAAGAAAATAAGGGCAACCCTCCGGTAACGGGGAAGGGAGGTGGTGAATGCTCATAGCATACTACGCAGCCGGCTGCGTGGTTATGTGGAGACTTTTACCCACTAATCACCACCTATTAGGATTGGCTTAACGATCTGACGAGAGATCTTTAAACCGTAAACGGACGCAACCTTGCTTGGGAGAAAGGAGGGCGCAAGAAATCCCATATGAAGATTTTATAGTTATATACTCTTAGCAACCTATTTGATGAGCATCAGTATTATAGATGTAGAGTAAATGTATATTATTTTATCTTTTTGGAGCTAATACATATATGTATAGTTAATTGTAGTTTCAACTTATTTTAAGGTTTTAAACTCTGTTTGGGTTCAGTCGTTTTAGTATAATTTGTTTTACCTACATATATATCGATGGCTGTAAATAAAATATTTACAAAAATATTGATAAATTTAAAAGCTGATTCCATTCCATACATGAAACCAATTGAAAAAGATGACGTTGGGATTTTTCAAAATGCTTCCTTTGAGCGGATCTACTTTTGCATATATATTATATAGAGAACCTACCGATTTCAAAAAAGAAAGTTTTGTTTTCGACCCGTATGGATGTATCCATTCAAAACCATCCACAATCGATTTCTTACCTAGCCTTATTTATGCCATCTTGTATTAAAATTATTAAAATTTATGATGTTTCTGTCTGGTATTTTCTAATGTAGGCAGACAGTTCTAGTTTTGGTGTTGATAATGAACGCTTGTCATGTCTTTTCATTGAGAAAAAAATAAAAATTTGAATACAGCCAATTTATTATTGATTAATTTTGATACGTCCTTACCTCGAAAAATTAAAAAAAATTAATGTATTTTTTTCTTATAAATGGTTCACTTTTGCTCAGGGACTTTATGGTCTAATTAATCAATAATAACCTCCAGTACAACATTCTAGTAGGAATAGGTTGAATAACCAGTAACCCTGTTTATTAGTCCCGAGTTCACCACATGCTGTTGGTCAGTATTCTGATGTAGGAGTCTTTTACCTTCCTGTCATTTCTTGCTGTGGTCGCTTGGGTGATACTCATACATTCTGCCTGAAAAGCTGTGTTGTGGGTACCCAACGGTGTACATATGTGGATGTTGAGGTCTTTTGAGAAAGTTTCAAATCCTGTACCTTCATTTGTTTTGGAATCACCTGTGAAAATTCTAAATTCTTATAGGTTTAATCCCTCTGGCTGCTTTGTTTCATTAAATTGTATCTTATATTTCTTATTAAACAAATTGTTTAGAGATGTTGTACTTGGCTTGTAAGATAAGAATTTTGGTACTCTTTAAATAGATCCCCGCTTTATAAGCTTCTCGCTTTTCCCCCTTGTCTTAAATTGGTTGTAGATATTGTACATTCTTTCCTAAAAGATTCCTATTTAATGACCATATTATATTTTAGGTAAAAGCATTTAAAAGTCATCTTGCAACTTATTTTTAGATATAAACATTTGATATAACTTTTTACTAATAAATTTGATATTGTTTTAGATACAAATGCCAGTCTTAGTGCTACTGATATTGCACTCGCATTAAAAAATGCAAAATTTAACCAAAATGATATGCGTATAATAAAGGATGCCTATAAGAAATGTTGTATTGCGAGATCGCGGAAAAGAATTGAGAAAAGATATAACCGTAGATTGGGTTTGAAAAGTACACGACGTAAAACTGATGATGATTCAGGGGAACAAGGAAGTGATTCATCTATAAGTAGTGATGACTGCAGATCAATAAGAACTACTAGTTATAAGGAGAACATTCCCTATTATAAAACATTTAATACACATCGGACAGATATTAGAAGAATTATAAATGAAAGTAATACGTATAGGGACTGTACAGACAATATAAGACAAAATTATTTTAGGAATATGTTTCCTGTTGGCACAACTGCTTCGCATAATGAAAATCAAGAAAAAGCCCAAAATACATCTCTTGAAAAAAGTTATTTTATAAAAGATAGATTTCAAAAAAAAATTGTCTTACCTTCTCAAAGATTTCACAAATCTGCAAATGGAGTTATATTCCCGGAGGCTTCAAATTCAGAAAACACAGATCAATATAAAGAAGGCTATAACTATGACAAGAAACAAGTAATGGAGCAAAAAAGAGGATCAGTAAGCAATAAAAATCAAGAAATAGAAAGTGAAGAAATAACTGCTACTGAACGTATTAATTCTTGTAATAAAAGAAATTTGGATGTAGATGATTCACAAGGAAGTGCTAATAAGAAATGTAAAGTGTCGAAATCTAATGTACCAAATGAAAGTGTTAAAAATGTGCATAATGGAGTAGAAATTAATTTTGTATTTCCAAAACCAAAGATGCCTGTAAAAAGAGGAGGAAATGCAAAAACAAAATATTCAAGTCCTGAAAAACTGATTGCCAAATCATCTCAGCCGCTTACTGGTTCTGTGGAACGTAGTACTGATAAATTGTCCATAGCAAATAATCAATTGATACTATCGTCTAATAAACCTCCTAAAGATAGCGTAAATTTGGAAAAAGTATCTGCTAACACAGAATCCATACATATAAATCAATTAAATGAGGATATATCGATGAGGCCAAGCTTTATTAAAAGAAAATTATTTACACAAAAACTTGATGTTGCTGAGAACAAGAACATTAGTGACACTTCTCAGACAAGTAGTCCCCAAATGAAAACCAATGGTTACAAAGAAAGAACAAAAACAAGAAAGCTAGCTACATCACAATCATGTTTAAGCCGTGATGTACTGGTAGATGATAATAATCTTTTAGATCTTATCCACAAAATAGTACCAGCAGACCAAATGAATGTAACAAATGCTACTAACAGAACTGGAGGGGTTAACAGAAACAGCCAAGTTGATCCAGATGACAAATGGGATGTCACCTCAGTTATTTCTAATTGCAACGACGATGATGTTAGTGACACATTTACTGATGAAGATATCTTTAAAGTTAAGAAAAAAAGTGAGTCTAAGCCCAAAAACAACTTACAATTACCAACTCCACTTACATCTAATTGTAAAGTTGTGTTAGAAAAACCACCACAAAATTCTAAATCAATACCATCCAGTAAGCAAAGCAGTGTCGCCAATACAACTAAAGGTATGTATATTCCAAAATTTAATTTGTATTTCTTAAAATGTTTAATACGTTTTAATTTTCAACCGACTTCAAAGAAGGATTTTAAGTATGTTTACTGATTACTCGAAGACCCCTGAACTGATTTGAAAAATTCTTTGTCTCTTCTTACGACACCCGTCGGGATGATATAGAGCCAATGGCTATGAAAACATAAATTGCTTGCTTCTTAGTCTGGTTATATTATAAATGCCCCTTGATACTACATCCTCGTCAATGTAATCTTATCGCAGATTAGGACAAGGCCTTAGGACAAGTTAGTGCCTCTGTGTTCTTTGCACCATTATACCATATTCAGAAGTCATTACTATATTTAAAACTGATAAAGGGAACACTATACAAGTTTATTTTCCAGAGTAGCCAAATTTTAAACTTAAGTTCAAATATGTAAATAACGTTATACCGTTATTGCCATAGAATACTATAATACGCAATAGAATGGCTGTCAACCTTATTTTGTACAAGGATCGGTGTCGCCGGGAGCACACATACAAGCAGTTATGTCGTATTATCACTACTACAAATCCGATCCGCTGTATTGAGATACTGAGCGAATTTACACATTTTGGACTTATGGTTAATGTTTTTGACACATCAATATTTCTTTATTTTTGTTTCTAATACTCACAAAATATAAATAGTTTCGACTTACTGGTTGTAGAATATGTCTCCATTATTTAAATTCCATTTCCCGCTGTTCTTTTGACAGGTAATTAATGCACAAATTGCCATTTTTAAAATAATTTGCATGCAACGACGCTTGACACGAAAATTAGAAACGATTGATTGTGTTGACATTTATATGTGTGAATTGACATGTTAGTGGCTACATGGGCTCCGCCTGCTCCCCCGTTCTATTATGTATGTATTACAGTATTCTATGATTATTGCAGTTTTTGAAATTTGAAATTATCCCAAATTGATTGCGAAATGATTAACCCAGTAAAATCAGTTAAATTACCACGCATTTTGAATTTAAAAGACAAATAGGACAGAATGTTAAAGATTGTTATTTAATTAATTTTTCTTCACCAATTGCCTATATTATTTATTATGAACCTTCTCTGCAAATTTGACCGGTTATTGCAAAATAACCCTGTATATTTTATTCCTATATGATAATTACAATTGTATATTATTACATAATAATATATGTTTATTGTGTAATATATTTAATATATTATGTTGTTTAGTTTAAAATATGAAGCACTAGCATTTTGCTTTGGTGACCCAAAATTGGGGATAGGCAATTCTGCAGTATTATTCTATATATGCTAATATTACAGCCGAAAATAACAAAGTAACAAAAGAAAATGGGACAAGACTAGTATTCCATGTGCGGCCGAACCTGCGCCTTGTAAAGCTGCAGGCGGTGTGCCGACATGAAATACTGTCCCGCTCTCCTGAGCACGTCAACCTTTTTAGAGGCCAATTTGGCCTTCTCTTCCAAGTGACCACGAAACTGCACGTCACTTGATATGTCGACGCCGAGGATTCCGATACTGGCTGAGGTAACAAGGGGAGTGTCTTGAAACTGAGGAGATACGACAAAGGGTTTCTTTTTAGCAGTAAACGCTCAAACTTGTGTCTTCTGGGATTGAACTGGATTAGATCTAGTCACTCGCAGTCCGAGACTTTGTTCAACAAAGTCTCGAATTCAGACACAAGTTTGTCCCGGTACTCGGCTACGTTTTCCCGAGAAATATATCTATATATTATATCAGTGCTGTCGTCCGAATAGCAATGATGTTACCGGTTTGCAACATATCATTGATATGCAGAAGAAATAGCGTTGGTGATAGCATGCAGCCTTGTGGAGCACAAGCGTTAATGGGCTTGTAATCGGAGCATGCACCGTCAACTACGACTTTGATGCTCCGATCTGCAAGAAAACTGGTGATCCAATTGCACAATTTCTCGATAAGCCCATAGAAAGGAAGCTTCGTAAGAAGCGCTTTGTGCTAAACCCGATCGAAGGCCTTCGCTAAAAGATCACCAGCCGGGCAACCCCGACGGAAACCGTCAAACGTCCCCGTTTACAAGAGTCGAGTTGGACGCAAAGAAAGATCCCAGCAGATCGGCTTTGTCCTTTGCGGCATGGGCCAGTGAGTCGTCCTCCCTGTGCAGAGATGGGAGAGATGGTGGATGGTTCCCTTGGACAGCCGTGGCGAGAGACCAGAATGCACGTGTACCCGAAATAAATCGATTTAGTTCCTCGCCAATTCTTCACGTTTGAAGGATCTGGAGGCAGAATTATACTTCTTTTTAAGAGCGCTGGTATTTGCATCCCGAGATGTCAATGCGTCAGCCCAGGCCTGGTAGCAGTCCTGCTTATGGTGTAATGCAATTTTGCAGGAGCGACCAAAACGTGGCTGGGTTCTGCTTCCGATAGGTACCACTGATGATGCAATAAAAAGTTCCATTATCTGTAGCACCACATCAGCGACAGAATCAGCAACAGCGCTGTAATCATCTGGCGAGAAGCAAACCAAGGGTAGGGTGCAAAAAAAGATCGCATCTCATCCTAATTAGCTGACCTATAATGCCAAGCACGACACCTGCAGAACGCAACCGCGATAGGAGAGTGAGTGGCATCGTACTCCGGATCAGACAATGGTCTGAGGAGCCAAGAGGGGCATTGACTCTGACCTGACCTGATATCCGTCCGGAGGTCAACAGAAGATGCAGCAGGGAAGGTACATGATCTTCCACATCTGGGATCCGCGTGTCATGTTCTGCGAAATTTCCAGCAAGCACTTGGCTTCAGCTATCTAGCACACTTGTAGTATACATACATATTTACAATACCTATTCTATTTAAACTTGTCAATAATGCGATTTTTATATCAACAATTTAATTTTACAATTTTCAGGTGTCAACAAGGCAAACTTCTGCTTCAAATTATTTTGGGATACTGACTATGAAAGTGATTTGGAAAAATGTGAATCACATCGGAATTTGAATAATTGTAAGTCTAATATCACAGTTAACAAAGGTGAGTAATACATACACTACAAAACTTATTTTACTTCATGGAAAATTCTTTTTACCTTGCATCTCTTTTTTTACAGGTATTAATCGAAAATGCAGCGCATCAGTTACACCCAAAGTTACTGCAATAGTGAATAATAAATCTCAGAAAGACTTAAAAAACTCATGTGTCCATGCAAAACTAAACAAAACACCTAAAAGAAAGAAAAATGTTGATCCACCTGACTCTCCACAAAATACACCTAATAGTAATTTATCAAATAGAAGTTTAAGATCCAACAAAAGTACCAAGAATGCTAATGAGTCTTCTTTAAAAACCGTTACGTTAATAGGTCATAGATTGGGTAAACCTAAAAGGTTAGTTAAAAAAAAATGTATGAACATAATTGAATCCCCATCACCAAAAGAAAAAGATGTGTCTTCATCTGAATTAAATATATCAATCAAAAGTTTACGATCATGGCATAAAAATGACAAGATAAACGAAACATTAGTTGCAAAAAGTACTCGTACAAGGATTAGGTCAGGCTTGAAAAGAATATAGTCTCAGTTACTCGTTAAAAAATATTGTATGAACTTACATTAAATGACTTTGTATAATTTATAAACTTTACGCACTAATATTTTTAATAATTATAATTTACAAAATTCAATGTAGTAAATGAGTCCTAGTTGTGTGACTCCCCACTAAATGGAGTGACACCTGGTAAGAATTGCAGGGGGTGGATGGATGCAGGTGGCTCAGGACCGTGCTTTGTAGCACCCCTTGGGGGAGGCCTATGTTCAGCAGTGGACTTGTGAAGGGCTGCAATGAAAATGAGTCCTGGATGCTTTAAATTAGATAATAATAACAAAACTGCGTATATTTGCACTTTGATTTATTACAAAGATAATCCATAACTTGAAAAACTTTAAAAGTCTACATATTTTTTATAAAATCCAACGTTACTTTAGAGAAATTCATTATAGACACATTGCTCAAAGCTGTCTTGGATTTTTCACGTTTATCAGGATAACTCTAATAGTGTATTCTAAAATTAAATTAAAAAACGAAACATCACGAGCGCCTTGAGGGTTCTGTATAAACTTAATATATAATAGATAGTTTATTCATAGTGGTTTATTATAAGTGAATATTATAGAAGGTAAATTGGATTAAAAGACATACTTAATGAAAAAATGTGTTCTCCCAACCGAATTCAGAACCAGAACAAAGACTACTACTTATTTTGGCGACAAAATGGGTGAGATTGTGGCCACTACCCAGATGGACTTCTAGCCAGAAAGAACTTTCTTTGTATGACTCTTGTGAAACTCTGGCAGTGAATTAAAAGTTATCTATGCTTCTATAGATCAACCTCTTAACTATGGAGTATGGAGTGTAGAAGTAAGGAGTACAGACTGTGTATTAAAAAGTGTCCATAAAACCCTTTAAATAAGGGTGGCGCCACTATAGCTACGGGGTAAATTTTAAAGAACGCACCGAAAAATATTAGTGGGATAGACGACTTTTTCGAGGTTATATTTACTAAATAAAATTATTTTAGATTTTAGAGTTACTGAGCAGTTTTATCTTACTTACTTACTTACTTATCTTCACGCACAATCCCTAACGGGGTAGCCAGAGAGAACAGATCGCCAAGTGTCACGATCCTTACATACCTCTTTCGATTCTTTCAGGTTCATTAACTTCTTCATACATGCACGTCTAGGTATCCGAGTACTCTTGACCCTCCCCTCTTCGAGCAATTTGCTCACATGGTCTTCGAAAGTTAGTCTCGGTCTACCTCGACACCTTTTAATATTTACTTTCGCTCTATATATTTTCTTCACCATTCGGTCTTCACTCATTCGTTCAATGTGCCCAAACCATTGGAGTACGCCCCTATAAATTTTTGTGATAAGGTCATCTTTCAATCCTGCCATATTGCGAATCTCTTCGTTTCGCTTTCGGTCGGCTAAGGTAACGCCACACATTTTACGAAGAGATCGCATCTCCACTGCATTCAACTTGCTTTTATGCTTCTTCTGGCATACCCAGGTTTCGCTGCCATATAACAAAGTCGGTACCAACACTGCATTATGTATTGCAAGGCGTGCACTCTTCACCACGCCTTGCCTTTTTTACTAATGCATTCAGGGCGCCATTGACTTTGTTTCCGGCAGCGACACGCCTATCCACATCTAAATCACATCTTCCATCCCGGCTGAAAGCACTCCCCAAGTATACAATTTCATTTACCTGTTCTAGACATTCCTGATTTACCCATATTTCACATTTCGTTCTCTCTTCGTCCTTTTCAAATACCAGAATCTTAGTTTTATTAGCATTCAAACGGAGACCTTTAATTTCACATTCCTCTTTCATACACGTGACTAATGCCTGCAGTTCTGCTTCTGATGGTGCAATAAGCACTGCATCATCAGCATACAGCAGACAATTAACTTTTATGTCACCCAATTTCACACCCAAACAGCCATTTTTCAGCTTCTGTAAACAGCTGTCGAGATACAGTATGAACAGCCAGGAAGACATGACACAACCCTGTTTTACGCCCGCTTGGACGCTAAACATGGGTGACAGGTCATGCCCTACCCGCACACAGGCTTTACAGTCATAGTAAAGTGACTGCACAGCCCTTAACAATCGACCATCCACACCATATCCCGGCAACAGTTCCCACTTTTTCTTCCTTATAACCTTATCAAATGCTTTCTCCAGATCCACAAAAGCACAGAAAATCTTCTGGTTAACACTCAGAAGCTTCTCCGTGATCATGCGGAGAGAAAACATTTGATCCGTGCATCCTCTTCCAGGTCTAAATCCGCATTGTGCCTCCCATAAGAATCTTTCCGATTTCTCTTGCATCCTACGTGTCAAAACCTTCGAGAAACTTTACTTGCTAAACTGGTCAAGCTGATCGCCCGATAGCACCCGCAGTCAAAATGTGAACCTTTACCTTTATATAAAGGCACAATGACCGCGGATCGCCAATCATCCGGGACATCTCCCGTCCGCCAGCACAAATTGCACAGCAGATGGAAGCTGTCCCAGACGCGAGGCCCACCGTACTTGACCATTTCAGCAGTAACTCTGTCTAGTCCCGCAGCCTTACCACATTTCAAACTTCGAATCGCACGTTCAATCTCTTTCATGCTGATGACCTCAGTGTCATCGAGGTCCGTGCCTGGCGTGCCAGTCACGGCGTCACCCCCGGATCCTTCACTAAGATCATGACACGCATACATTTCTCTATAAAATTCACTCCATCGCTGCATGACGTCCGATTTTTCTGAGAGGACGTCATTGGTTCTCGAAAGCACTTTGTTCATTAAGGCTGTCGCACCACTCCGGGACCCTCCAACCTCTTTCCAGAAGAGTTTGGAGTTTTCCCTAAAGTTGTGCGACAACCTCTCGTCCGCTTCTATTCTACACCTTTCACGTGCTTCCTCAATCAATGTTTTCGCATGAACTTTCTGCAGCTTATATCTTTCTTTCATCTTCTCTCTCATATGCTCATCGTTACTAGAGGCCAAGTAGTCTAACCATGCTTTTTTCTTCTTTTTTACAGCTTCTCTCACTTCATCATTCCACCATGCATCTCTTCTTTTACTACTACCTCTTTTTGTCGTTCCACATACTTCTTCCGCTGCACTTACCATTCCATCCCTAAGGTTGCCATGTTCTCTCCACACATTCTTTCCTGCCATCGATGGTGTCAAGCTTTTCGGCTACCCTCGTGTGATATTTGTCCCTAGTATCCTCTTCCTGAAGCTTCCAGCTTCGGATGCGACAGACCGACTGTGGTTCTGTTACTGCCGTCCGGTAGCGCCAACCCGCGAACAAACCCCTAAATCTAGTAATTACTAGATAATGATCCGTTCCCAGGTCAGCACCCCTGAACACTCGTGTATCCATCACCTGTTTTCGCAGTCGGTCATCCACCAGGAACAAATCAATCATACTTCTCTCATTCTTTCTTTCTCTAGTGTACATATGGATTTTCCTGTGATTAAACATAGTGTTTGTCACAAGGAAGACCCTTTTCCTTGCATACAGCCAGTATAAGCTTGCCAGCATCATTAACCCTTTTATCGCCAAACTTTCCAAGCACCGACTCGTATCCTGATCGAGCGATACCTACCCCTCCATTCAGATCACCACATACAACAGTTCTTTCGTTTCCCTTAACCAAATCTAGAACTTCTCTTACATTCTCCCAAAACTCCTCCAGCTCAGCCCTGGACGACGAAGCTACCGGCGCATAAACAGCCAAAAGGAATAACTTCGTCAGTTCCATTTTGAAGCGAAACCAGAGAAGTCTTGAGTTCACAACCTTGTATTCAGTCATAAGATCGACCAACCGGGACGACAACAGCACTCCCGCTCCCTGCCAGGCGTTCTCGCTTTCCGGGACTCCGGACCATATAGCTAACGTCCCGCCAGGGAGCTCTTCAGTACCACTGCCTTTCCGTTTGGTCTCCGACATACACACGACATCTAATTCTCTTTCTTTCATTATTTCGATCAACTCATTCGTCTTATCTCTCATGCCCCCTCTAACATTCCACGTGCCAACTCTGCACTCCGTCCTCCACCTTCCGCCGTGTCGGGCTGTGCGTGACTGGTGGCGGTCCCCATCGCCGCTTTGCGCGCTGCATTCCACACCAACGGGGACGAGCTGGTGTGTGTCGCCTTGGGGGGGACGCCCTAACCCTCGTTTGCATGGGTGCGCAGCTGTGTAGAATTGCAGCCCTGAAAAGGGCTGCCAGGGGTCGCGACGAGCACGCTTCTACAATGACCCCCAGCAGTTTTATCAGCAAACTTAAACCGTCGACAACTGCTAAGTTCATTTCATCCCATTCCTTGGCCTATATGGAGTGTAGAAGTAAGGAGTACCAACTCCCATAGGAGAATGGTTGAGAAAGTGTCCATCTGTAAGCAGTAAATAACTGTTCAAACACTCTCCACAACAGCGCTGGAGTAGCTACGGGGTATGTTAAATCGCCGTAAAATACGTTAAGAGTGATTTTGAAAATAAACATTTTGACCAATAAAATATTTATTGTAAAAAAATATTGTGAGTCTGTGTAATAAAAAAATTAAAAAGTTCTTTAAAATTTAGACTGTAGCTACAGTGGCGCCAACCTTATAGTGCTTTTCTACGGACACTTTTTTATACAGTCTGTACTCTTTACCTCTACACTCCATACTCTTCTATTTTAATACTTATCTTCACGCACAATTCCTAACGGGGTAGCCAGAGAGAACAGATCGCCAAGTGTCACGATCCTTACATACCTCTTTCGCTTCTTTCAGGTTCATTAACTTCTTCATACATGCACGTCTAGGTATCCGAGTACTCTATATTATTATAATGGTTGTATGCAAGGAAAAGGGTCTTCTTGTGACAAACACTATGTTTAATCACAGGAAAATCCATATGTACACTAGAGAAAGAAAGAATGAGAGAAGTATGATTGATTTGTTCCTGGTGGATGACCGACTGCGAAAACAGGTGATGGATACACGAGTGTTCAGGG